ATATAATGTTGTAGAATTTTGGCGTTTTTAACGTAAGCATCTGTAGTTTTCGTGTTTTTTCTTTCGTTATAGGTATATTTTAAGCAGTTATCTGACTTGGTTGTTTTATGATATTTTATTGAACTTGTTTTGTATTTGTTGAAATATTTGTGATTTTTATGTTTATGGTAAAATTAATTATCACAATATTTACAAAACCAATTATTTTTTATAAACAAAGTAATTGACCGAATATTTAGTAGTTAGTTATGTTTTAGCCGATTAGTCGCTGACTCACTGACTATAAAAACTACTGAATATGTGCATAGTAAAAATATTGTGCAAATGATAAAAAATCAATATTAATATATGAGCACACTTACTTCAACCATGCCTAGAGCTACATTAGAAACGAGAGAAATTTAAAATGAGGAGAAAATCTATTAGAATTAATGATTATACTCTTGTTATAAATAATGGCGTGAGTCATCAATGCCAGTATTGAAATCAATTATAATTGATCAATAAAATCAAGTTCAAGATGTTTTACATGACTTAAGTAATTTTGAAGTAGATTGATCTTGTCCGATTGATTTACTGACTTACATTTCTCCTTTTGATACAACTTTCATTATACAACTTTGTATGATTTTTAGATAGGAAACGAGTATTTAACTGAATTAAAACACGAATCATCTTCTCTGTACGTTCACAGGTACATTGAAAACAAGTTGAGGAATTCAAGTTCAGAATAAGTATAGACTAGCTGAGTGGTTTGTAACATGCTAGGTCTAAATCGAGACTTCTCTAGACCTCACCGGGTATATTTTTACATTTATAGCAAGAGTTGTGTCTTGTCTCGAAGTTTCTGTGAGGAGGTGGTCATTATCCATTAGAGGTTATTCATCATAGACAAACGAACTTACTAAGTACTATGTGTCGACATTATTATTAGGCTATCATACTATATTTTTTTATTTTTCTTGATTTTTTAATAATTGTGTTATTAATGTTTTATTTTTGGTTCTGTTGTTTTAGTTTAGTGTTTAATGTTTCAACTTGATTAGCTCACATTTCCGCGTCATGCGTACACATGTGCATCCGTTGTGACGCCTGTGTATGTAAAATATTATTGATTTTGTAGAGCTCTAGCGACGTGCCACGTTACCACCACCACCTATATCATTCCGTGATCATTCCTGCATCGACCGTCATTACACGAATATTACACGTGTGTTGGCAGAGATCGAAGCCGGAGCAGACACGATGCTTTTTGTGCGATTTTATATCTTCGCGTTTCTATAACGACGCCGCCGGTGACTCTGACGTCGATTGGCGTCATCGTCCTTATCACCCACACGAGCACAACTCCACTCCGCCGGCAATTTTAGACATTGAGGTATATTTTATGATGGAGACGAGTAGGAAGAGGAAATGAAGGACTAGGGATGGAGGACATCCTCATCAGGTGTACAACAAGTATAACACAACTTGTGCAGACTACTACTAGAAGGTTAGAAGTAGTAGTAGGGTGGTGATGTCGGTACTGACGTCACTCTCAGGACAAGCCAAAGAAAATGGGAGAAAGGACATACCTACACTACAATTCTACAACCGGAAGTGAATTGGACGTGCATTTAACTCAACAAACACTACACATCCAACCGCGCATTGTTCTATATAGTGTAAGAAAAATAAAACGTCAACACTTAATTACATGAATTAATTCCCCGCTGGTGTGGATATTCCACATTTGAATATACGCATAGGATTTAAATAGTAGGTCAGGTTGTCGTGGCAACACTGATAACAGCAACAACTGCATAAAACGTCGATAAATCAAGCGCACGGTGCCAGTCCGCCCCAAAAACTCCAGCACACACCGAACCGGGAAGCGGGCACGCACAATATTCCACAATCACATGTACACACACATAGGTATATACCTATACCTATATATAATTCTAGAATAGATCTACACACATATCGCCATGGCAGATCGCATCGACCGCGGCCGGTACGCATCATCTTTTCGGTTTTTATCGTCGACATTAATCGAACGAACAATGTTGCGCACGTTTATGGCCTGTAAATATACCCGATGTATACCGAAATTAATTAAAACCGCTTGACAAGTGATTTTACACCGACGCCATCTGTGTTTGGTGTGGTTTACTACGGAAATTGATTGTTTTTCAGGTTATGACTGCACTATACCGTTTATTTTTACTCTAATGGCAATACTAACAATCAACTAGTGTAATGGCGATTATGTCGTGGGTATTGGTGTGTTTCTTAGCTAGCACTCGGTGTATTTGCGTCGTAAATAATCCCTAATAACCACATCGAAGAATAAACCTCGCCCGAGCGGGCGCTATCGACGGACGGACGATCATTACGCGAACCCGAATGCGTGATTATAATTTATTACCGGACCGATCGTTATCTATCATTTCTCTTCTTTTTTCTGTTCCTTTTTCTCTTCGCGTGTTCCACGGGTATTATATATGTACACAGGTATACGGTACCTCACTCTGCTTTTACTCCTAATGCTAAGGTAACCGGCGTAATCAGCGATTGTGTAATATTTAAACATCAAACACCTAATGATAACACAAAAAATGTGATCATATGTGAAAATTTAATATTTACCAACATTAGATTTTCTTATAGGTTGCTGTGATAACGGTATACCTCAAACGTTCATTACTTATACCGCAACTCAACTGTGGGTTGATTAAATGCATTTATACTTAGTTATACAATTGAAACTAGTTTTCTTTGCGTACTTGGCTACAACTGACATAATTTGAAAATAATGAATGGGATCGCTTTGATGGCGAGTCATTAGCGATAAGTGATAAGCTAAGCAGTAAGCGCAAAAGAGAATTTCTAAATGATTAAATAAATATGTAATGTAATCTTCTACAGGGTGTTATTTTACCTGGAATTTGTTCCAGTAGCGTATGTTTATTTATCTTTTGATTTCTCAGTATTTTTACTGATTATTTTCATTTAATTTGAATTATGTATAAGCAATTTTTCATTAGCAGCATTCTGCGAACTATTAGTGCGCAATAAGTGCAAAAAAATTAATTTATTTTCCATTCGTTTACAGCGGTTACCAGTACCAGTCTGTTACCATGAACGAGAGATAAACATGCATATGCTTACTGTAGAAAAAGTGTTAGAAAGAAGTGTTGGGAGAGTGTACTGGCAATACTAACTGCTTAGATGCTAGTCGCTAGTCATATTGCCGTTGGCCCATTTGCAGTCTATTAAAACGCGAAGGGTCGATAACCTTCAACTGTTTCAACGCATTCAGACACATTCGTGTGCGCGATAGATGCAACGACGGTGCATTGCAAGCAACCGCAGCACGAAAGATAGATGAATGGTGAATCAAGCATCAACATCAGCTTACAACCACATAACTAGAACTAAAAGCGCAAAACTTCATTAATATCATCGTATAGTTTATGGCTATGTTGGTGTATGTTTAGTTTGTGTATTAATTCATCATTCATTCCATTCTGCAAGAGTTTTAGATGTAATTGTAATTGGTAAATGCCTGATGATCCTATGATGATCTATATCTAGGAATTTAAGTCGTCAATTTATTTACGTCTTCAGCACGTTTGCGTGCGTTCTGGGACGTGCGAGACGACAACACGTCGCAATTCCAGGTCATTTATATTTAATCTCGGCTTTTAATCCTCTCATCAAACATCTACGAGCCAACGTCTTATTAAAAAGGTCTAAATTCTAAGCGCGTCTCCATTTGGTTAATTTTAAAGTTTATTGCAGTTTCATTTTTTTTGTGTGTTACATACATCGAATATTCAAAATGTGAGCGAATATTTGTTTTGTAATTTTTATTTCTGTTGGCATATCGACTGTTTGTGTTTATCTTTTGATAATGGATGAGATTATCCAATATTAAAGAGTTTCACACCTTTGTTTATTCAACTAAAATATTTGCGCTGTAATCATTTAAATATTTATAGGTAAATGTGAAATTTTATCATTTTTAAAATGTTTACGCTTGAGTTGCGATAAATGTAGCGAACATCTTTATTCAGTTTTTATGTTAAGTATTATTTTCGGTTTTTGCATTTAATTTAATTTCTTATCGTGTTATCTTTGTTTTTTTGTAACTACAAAAAACTTAAGTTAAGTCACAACGCGATAAAATTTTATACAAAAATGTGAAATATGAAAAAAAAAAAACTTTATTTACTTTGTTTTTGCCAATAATTGCTTCATTATATGCATTTTTCGGCAAGTTATGATTTATTTACTGTAATTTTTTAGCATACAATAGAATATTATTCGTTTATTTGCAGTTTTATGTCTGTTTAGAATGGTTAAAGTTTGGAGCACGCTAAAAATTGTTTTCACTCGAGTTTGCAGCGCTTCAGGATAATTTATTATTTACGCTACACTTGACTTTCGTCTGCATTATACACTTCAATATATACTTCAGTCGGTTTTAGCCATTTTCATCTCATCTCATCTCATCTCGCATAAGTGATCGTAATTCTATTAACTTGCCTTTAAAAAAAACTTAACGTCGACTAAACAACAAGGTCGCGGATTCACGCACTTTTTGTGCGTCTAGCAAACTGATTACTCGTCTGTTTTCATACTTTATCGGATATTATTTTTTATTGGAGGGAATAAAAGCAAAACTTGCAAAATACTCACTCAAGTGAATAGTTTACGATTTTGTTTTTCAATCAAAATTGTTATGCGTTGATTGTGAGTTTTTTGTTGTTGTGTTTTCTTTTCTATTATGAGCCAAGTTTCATATAGGTAATTCTTAGTGGTACATACATAATAATGGTCGTATGTTATACGAGTGTTTTGTTTACGACGAAGAAGGTTAAATATTTGCAATGGAACGTTTTCCCAAAGCGATCGCGTTTCACTGGGGCGCTCCCATAATAAAATTGCGCCTAGTGATATATCGGATATCGACTGTTTGCGGTGTTATTTATTTGTTTGTTTGCTTGTTGCAGAACGGATGGCACAGAGTCGCCAATACTCGAGGAGCGCGACGGCACCAATTCGGACAAGCCGAAACAGCAGATCAAATTTGGAGAACTAGTCATTTTAGGGTAAGTTACTCCGATTGCTATGGTAACCAAAGAAAGTCAGCGGTGTTATTAAGCTTAACAATAGTGACAAAACGAATGGACAGTTATTATCAGCATTAAGATGGTTTTTCCTTTGCTTTGAATTTTCGCGATAAAGTTACCTATATTCTTCGATAACTGATTCGAATCTAAATGTAAAACGATTTAATTTTGACATTATTTTTTTTATTAACAAAACTAAATTAAGCATTGTAAATAATTTATTTAAGGCGACATCTATTGTCCAAAGGGTCAGAAGGTTGTGGGGTCAGCTCTGTGTATATAAAAATAAAGATATGTATGTATGTTCCCTAGGGATTACCAAATGGCTGAGCCGATTTTGATTAAAGTTTCAGGTAATCTTCCGATAAGTTTTCCGAATAATTGTGGAAAGTTGCCTTGCAAAATTATAATTTGAAAAGTGTCAAATAAGGGATAAAAAATTCAAGTATGAAAATTCAAGCATAGTTGGAGTTATATTGTTCGCATTGAAATGGGGCTAAAGTACATTATTAGATAATGTACATATGTTTAAAATAAAATCTGAAGAATCTTATTGACAGTGGCGTCACATTTTGATTCAATTCTCTTTAAATTCTCCGCTGACAAACTCGCGACCAAAAGCTAGTTATCAATAAAAGTCATTCTAGGGATTTAGTGCATTCGTAGGTTGCTACCGGTATATTTAAATATTGTTTACATCTTGCATGCATTAACAGAACAAGTAGTATTAACGTGGAATAAAAATCAACATGTACGCAATGTACACGACGAACACAAACAAAACCGATATCAAGTTCAACAATCCAAGGTCGTCTCTAACGCCCCATACTGCACGTATGCACAAACATTGCGATCGTATAATTTTATCGCCGCAATAATAACAAAGAATATCAATGCAGGTTACTTAAATGTCATAATAGCATAATATTTTTATAACGCACTAGTTTAATGGCCATTATAATTTGTCATTGATTGACAAGGCGACGAAAATACTGCTGACGGCTTTTTTCGTCAACACAAAAGCAATATTGTTGAAGGTAGACAATAAAATGATAGTGCCGCGCACAACTTTAGTTGTACTAAACTTGTACTAATTCTGTTCGCGTGTTTATCGCGCCCAACATAAAATGTGATGTTTGTATGCGCCGAAGTGAATTGTGTTTGGATTAAAGCATGATTTGCATTACATTTAGTGGATATTTGCATAATTAATGTCATTATTTTCTGTTTTGTTGCGGTTGTCGTGTGTATCACCCTGGCGTATGATTAATATCAAGTGTTTTGCTGCTGCGCATGCGCGCGTTTAAATTGCCAGCGTACAATTTATTTATTATATATGTCGCGCAGGCGGCCGATGACCATCGATATAATTATCGTCGAAGATTGAATTAATTGCATTGTTGTCCGGACATAATTATACGCGACATGCGACCGACAAACAGAGCGTTTTAAATGAATTAAAGGCACAAATAACTTAAGGGTAATCAAATTAATCAACGTTATTAAAAGCCGCATACTTTTCTAGCGAATGCGATCAATAACGTTTATAATAATAAATTATTTAATCTAATAAATATGTGATATTGTTCTAGAATTATTTCTAGTGTGATTTGCAAGTTGGCGAGACGCGACTGTGCATAAACAAAACGCGGTACGCACATCACACATTAAATATTTGCATTTAATAGCGATCGCTTTGTTTTCGAAGGCCCTGAAACGCAAACAAAGCGGTGGCACTTGTCTCGGCGGCAGTGTGTATTATTATTAACATTCATTTATTCGCGGAAGGCGTAATTGCTGACAACGGCTACGTTTTGTAAAAAGAATATCAACACTAGGATTCATTATGTTCGCATCAAGTGCGCATGCATACACACATTATATTGTTGTTAGTTGTTATGGCAGGACTTGAACAAGCAAACAAAAGATGTAGAATTTAAGTTTACTGTTTTGCTACTACTGCGTACAAGTAGCATATTCGGGAATATAAGGGATGAAGCGCAAAACTAGCGCAGCGGTGAAGCAAACTGGTTCAAGGACGTGCCAGCCGCCGCCTCCAGCCGGTGCTGCATCGGCGGAATAGCTCGCGGACGCGCAAGTTGTGACGTCATTGCGATGCACTGGCGGTGGCGGCGACTGAAAATCAAAGCCGGGAGACGTCTTTCGGGAAATCAATATGTGCGGAATACTTTAATAATAAAAAATGTTCAGCATATGCGTGTGGTATATGCAACATATTTGTATAGATATGGTTATCCACGCCAAATAGGATTACATTTGACATTTAATCATAGATTTTTAAATATGTGATTTCTTTCCTTAAAATGTTTAGAATTTGAGAAAGATGAATCACTCTGTAATGTTATATTTTTATAAAAATAATGAATATTTATTAAGATTAGTTTCTTTAAAATCGAGAATTTTTGGCTGAAAACGTTGTTTTCCGAAAAGCACATAGGTAATGAGTGATTTTCTTGAAATTTTTATCAAATCCGTTGCTCATTGCGTTCTTTTTAAGTATGGTCCGATAATGGGATAAGGATGTGATCTATTTTGTCTTTTAAATTTCGTCACGGGTATTCAGGGCAAAATAAAACCGTTAACTTTGACTGCATTCGTAAATTACCGGAAATCCTTTATTATTCTTATAAATTGAAGAATTAATTTTTTTGCCACAGTGGATTAGTAAATACTGAATAATGTTTTTTGTAATTTAACTCAATTATTGCGTTAAATCTAAATGATTTTCGAAATACGAAAAACAAGTTTTGTAAAAAGAGTTAATTTTATTTCAAAAACTGAAAAAAATTTAGTTAACAATTAATTATGGCAAATATTGGTGAAGGTATACTAAAATAAATCGGGGCAGCTAGTTTTTAATAATTTCTGTTGATTTTAACATTATTTGACTAATGTAATTTTCATGTAATATTACATGTAAATTCGGCAAAATTACTACAAAAAAAATTGCACGCATTGTTATGTTTTGTGTGCTACGTTCCGGTGTGTGATTTGCACCATTCGGAATTTATATTCACCATTCTTTTCATTATTACACTACACTCGCTCGCATTTCGTCTATCCGTCTCTTGTTCGCCGGTTGCGCACATCAAGCAAATGGGTTATGATATTAAGGCGTTACGTAAATGAGGAATTATGTATGTAAGTACTTGCAAGGCCGCCGCAAGTAACGCTACAATGCAAATGGATTTTCAAGACAAGACTTCACATAATCATACACCGTGTGGCATAATCACAAAATAGCCAAAAATGTGACTTTCAAGTCAAATCCAGATTCTAGGATAATATAATTGAGAACGTATGTTGAATTGTAATTTTATTTAAATTATTTGCGTCATTACGCAAATTTCTTTTGGGTTTTGGCTGCAAATTTAGAAATTAGTGCTTTTATGTTCTAAAAATAATCCTGTGTAACACATTAGGCATTCGTAACATTTTTTCAACATTCTCGCCGTTTGTTTTAACAAATTTTATGATTTCGATAAGCGCATGACTGACTGTCACACTTTCTTAGTTTTTTTGTTATTGCGGATTTCGTTCCGGCACTGGACCACTTGTTCTATCGCTCGGAATAACATCCTTTTCCGAATCAACGATATTTTATACTGCCTTCTATGCAAATTTGCAATCAACACTCGACAAATACGAAAGTCTATTAATATCATTTTCGCGCCAACTTTCGGCCGGTTGAGGAAAACAAATTCGTAATTTGTTGATCGTAAATCTTCCGGAACAGCTTCGGTACACTTGGACTTGGCGCTTGACTCATCAAGGACGAATTTCGGCGGTGAATGTAATTTGCATCTCGGCGAAACGAACTTTGAATTAAAATACGTTAACCGAAACGTGCCGAATTTGTATTTCTACGCGGAAGAGCATTTCAAACGTTTTCTCATGCATTACGAATCGATTTTTGAACGAAATAGAAAGGAAAACTTGTTTGGAGGACAAAAACAATGAACTTTTGCATTATATTACTTTTATTTCTGATTTTTACGCCATAAATAATTTAAATATTGAATTAATTGCAGATACAATGGATTTCTACCTCAAGGCGACAGAGGCCGAAGACGCAGTAAGTTTGTCCTGTACAAGCGGCAGGAACCAAATGGTGTTAAACGCTCCAAACATTACGTTGTCAAAACACCGCATTCGTCGCAAGCCATCTTAGACGCTCGCCAGCATTCAATATCCTACACATTATCAAGGAATCACGCCGTCATTGTCGAGTACACGCCTGATGATGACACGGACATGTTTCAAGTAGGTTTCTGCATCTTACCTTAACTTATTTTATTGATTAATTAAATGGACGTAGGCTTGACACACAAATTGAACGATTTGCTGATTTTATGAGTAATAAAATGTGATCATCTCAATAGATCGGTCGATCGTCCGAGTCGCCGATTGATTTCGTCGTCATGGACACCATTCCCGGGGACAAGACGGGCGAGAACAAAGTCATGCAGAGCACGATATCGCGATTTGCGTGTCGGATATTGTCGGATCGAAATTGCGCCAAGATTTGTCGAATATACGCTGCCGGATTCGATACTTCGAGGAATATATTTTTAGGCGTATGTAAGAAAACATTTGCGAGATCTTTGTTTTATTTATTTTTTGTGTTTGTTTAAAGGAAAAGGCAACAAAATGGCAAGAAAACGGTCGCGAAATCGATGGCTTAACGACGAATGGCGTTTTGATCATGCACCCGAGGGGTAGTTTCTGTGGTGGAGAAGCAAAAAGCGGTTTTTGGCTGGAGACTTCAGTCGGCGGTGGGGTTTTTTCTCTGAGAGAATCGAGATCCGCTCAGCAAAAGGGTCAAGTTGTACGTTTTTCATATATTTTTATACAAACATTTTGTTTTAATTTATATATTTTTGTTGTTCAGGTGGAAGAAGAAACAAATGTTTTGCAAGATGGCACGTTAATAGATTTATGCGGCGCGACATTACTCTGGCGATCGGCTGAAGGTTTAGCAAAATCACCTGTAAGTACAATTTCAATTTAATATCGGTTTTTTTTTTTAAGTTTCTCACCATAATTCCCACGCGTGTAATTTTAAAATTATTTTTGTCTGTGGGAAGTTTTTAATTCACATTGCGTTCATTCCGGCCGCAATGCCACGTAATTAAATTTGCACCCGAGGAAGGCACATGTGTCAGTTGTGAAAGTCGCCCTTTGTGTTGCAGAGCAAACGAGATCTGGAGCGGGAGATCGACGAAATCAACGCCGGGCGACCGCAATGCCCCGTCGGGTTGAACACGCTCGTGATACCCAGGAAGGTGACACCGAGCGACAACCAACAGCAGCCGTACGTCTATCTGAATTGCGGTCATGTGCAGGGTCTGCACGACTGGGGCCAGGATAAGGACTCAGGCGCGCGGAAGTGTCCTATTTGCTTAGAGGTGGGTGAACTGGCGGAAAGTTTACGCGTGTTTTGCCTGCTTTTCGTGCAAACCCAAGATGTTATTCTAGGTTTAGTCTGTGTTATTCCAGCAGGCCGTTTTATTGGCCATTACCTAATAGAATTTTAAATTTTTGGGACACTAGGTGCCTGGGGAGCACGAAACAACTAGGGAAACTTTTTGTTTATCCGCGAATAGGGGCAGATGACACATTTAGGCAATCTAATACTAACAAATGTCGAATAATAAAATAACATTGATGGTTTTGATTGATTTAACAGTTGGGACCCGTCGTTAAAGTGTGTATGGGCTTGGAACCTTCGTTCTATGTGGATTCTGGACCGCCGACGTTCGCTTTCAATCCGTGCGGACACATGGCAACCGAAAAAACAGTCAAGTGAGTTACCAGGCACAACTTGTCACATCCACATAATTTATTGTTACTCATTTGTTTATTTTTTTATAGATACTGGGCAAATGTAGCAATTCCGCACGGAACGAATGGTTTCCACGCTGTGTGTCCATTCTGCGCGTCGCCATTAGCCGGTTCCCCTGGTTATATCCGTCTGATTTTCCAGGATAACGTAGATTAGATGGATTGTACCCTGCCACAGCGATTGGATATGAGTAGGCGTGCTTCACGCGGCGTAGAAAAACGAAACGTTCGAAAATTGCTATTTTAACAACTAAGCACTAAGGCATTGCAATTGTTATCGTCATTATCATTCGATTCATTCGACTATTCATTGAATTCGATTGTCAAATCACATTCACATTCATTCGCTACATGAATATTGAGGAATTGAGTTCTTATCAACCAACGTTTTTGTGGAAAATATTTCAAATTCATCATTATCAACAACCAAAAAAAAAAAAAGAATTTTAAACGTCAACACGTTGTTGTGTTTGTGTGCATCGTGTGCGATTTGCATTCATTAGCGATTTAAATGCGAGTTGTTGATGATTACCTTAGGGGATAACTAAATTCATAGATAAATGATAAAACGATATCGATTTCGAAGCAAAAACAAGATAATATTTAAGGTAATTTCGTAATGTTTCGTATTGGGGGAGTGGAGTATCGAATGTTGCGCTGAGTTGCGGAAACGGAGTAAAAACGTAAATAATACAATACATAAATTGATAAATATTAACCGCGGAGATGTAAACAAAAAAGAATTTACGAATTATTTTAGAGTTATTGACGCTTTATCTTTTTTATTTTATGTTTATTCGATAAAGTTTCATTTGTGTTCTAGAATAAGTGGTAAACAAAGTGAAACAAACTAGGAATCAATCAAAATCTATTCATCAGGAGAACATATAGCATTTGGGATTTTATCTATTCAAAAACAAATATAATTTTATACTTAATTTTACTTTTTACGCAATGACTGTGTATTCATTCTTTAATCTTTTATTCTTCTAACTCTACTGTTAATTCTTAGTTGCAAAATATGTCGATGATAAATATTCATACTGACAACTAATAATCCAATTGTAAGTAGATGTAATTATTGTAAATAATTTCAAGATACCATTTTAGGAGGCCCAATATTCTATATAAACACTATTTAAACAAAAACAAGCCGAACAGGGAGTTAAATGGAAGCAAAACAGAAATAAATTAAATAATATGTTTTATAAACGGATAATGGATAAAACAAATCAAAGATTTAGTCACAAGGACAAGATGGCCGCCACTGAATGTAGATGAAGGATGATGAAACACACAAATTTCATTACAATAACACATGATTGATGAAAACTAATAACGTGTACGCGTAGACTTAAGTAAATCAATGATAAGATGATGAATGGATGACGTTTGCGACGCGTCGCAAGCATTTAAACTATAAATTGATAAAATATGTGTAGATATGTGCATAATATGCAGAAACACTTCGATTATGCAAACGTGCAAGGGTTTTGAACGCGTGAATTCTCGTAAGACTGGTTAGGCAGTAGTTAAGCATACGATTATATTACAATTAATATTATTAATATGATTACGAAGCATTTGACGAATTTCAATTGGTTTCGAACAATGTATTGGACTCACATGTCACGAACCTGTCTTGTTTTCTTAATTTCACATCCTTGTTACTGTGCAAACATTGAACCTGATTAATTGCTATGATTCTAATGCCCACATGTGTACATATTGTAATTAGATTTACGTAGATTTCAATTTTGATTAACGCAGACGCAGGATACTGTTGCAAGGCACTTGATTATACACTTATAATTATAACCGCGTAATGAGATAATTATTTAACGACTTAATTTAAATACATTATGATGAACTTAAGTAAGATGATCGGATTGATTCGGAGATGCGGAGCAAGCGAGATTAACAGCAGGTTTAGCCTTAGGTGTACTGACTAAGATAAACTATATTATTATTGATATAAATATTGACTAATTGCGAGATTGTTTGATGCATTAACCATTAAGATATGATTGTTTCTGAATGCGTCAAAAATTGCTAAACTAATTGGGGAAGCGTTAAGAATTTATGGAAATTAAATTCGAAAACAAAACGAACAACGGACTGCTGTAAATCAATTCAAAGGAGTATCGATAAAGATGAACGGAAATATGATTTGTTCCACCGATGAATTTTATCTGTGCCTGGATCACCAATAAATAAAAATGAATAAATGAACGCGCTTCATTTTACACCCCAGTTAATTTTCTAACATTTATTATATTATGTGTAAGGCTATAGTTTAGAAATATGTCTTATTATTATTGAATTAATATTGCAGTTTAACGTCAGGTATAGTCATCATTTCAACTTTTCTTCGCAGTACGTCCTCAATAAATCGACGTTCGTGCTAAAACAAAAGCGGTTAGAACACGTTATGGTTGCCATGCCAACTACCTATAACCAATGTTGCGAAACAAAAAGTCCCTAGATATAACCAAATAACTTCCCTATCTTTTTTGAACGCGGTCAGACATTTGCAAGTTTTTTCCAACCAGTTCAAGTTTGTTCGCAAACATTGTTAATGGTAAGTTATTACTTATTTTATACCTGATAAATGTATAAACCTTTCATGGTAAACACGATTAGTTCTTTCACGCCGTCGCCTGTAATATCCATGTATAAAAGATGAAAAATCGGTCCGACAAGTTTCATCACTTCGATTAGTTTCATTTCATAATCGGTTGAATCTTCAATATGTACGGCTTTATACAGCATAACTTCCTTTAACATACAATAATACAGTTTTTAAGCATGAATAAGCCATGTGAATTATATTGGAAAAAAGTAAATTTGTCACCTCCAAACTGTTACCAATCATTATTTCGTATTTTCCGTCGAAATCAATGTCTGCTGGTGTTGAACATGTTGACACACTAGTAGTATCTTTCCTTCTGAGGCATTTGTAGTCTGTCAATGCATTTTCAGTCACGTTTGTAAAATGCACGACTGGTAATATTGCATTTACAACTAATAAATCCAATTGCACTTGTTTTCTCCCATCAGTTGTTCCGTTTGAGGTATTATTATCATCTGTGATAATATGTTTAGGTTTTTTGGTAGAATTATTACTTGGATACAACTTTATTTGTGATATTGCACTTATAAATTGCGTCGATTGATTGAAAATTATTGTGTTATCCCTGGTGTTCACTTTTACCAATCTAAGATATCCATTTTCACATCCAAATGCTGATATTCGGCTAGAAAATAAAAATTACCAAACAAATTTCTTGATTTTAACTAAATACTTACATATTATCATTGATATAATAAACACAAATCCACATTACAACAGCAGGTGGATTATAAAACTCAGGAAAATGTGAATCACAATCAATCTCTTTAAAATTATGATTTTCTTTAGTTTCTCGAAATATGTGAATCTTATGATCACTCCCTGATAAAACAAAAACTTTTTCCTTTATTGGTGCATTATCCACCCATGTAATCAAGTCAGTATGTGTCAAATGATATGGAATGAAATTTAATTCCACACAGAGACAATTCTGTGCAATATTATCAATATTAAACTCTTCATCGGAATAAATATTCAGAAAAGTTTCTAGACTATTATTATCCATACTAGATTTAATGATTGTTATGCCTATGACAAAGTCATTTTTTCCTCCCTGAGATTTATTGAAGGCATCTAAAGAAATGATTTCTGCTCCACCTTGATGGCAAAAAATAAGTTGTCATATTGTTACAAATCAATACACAATTAAAAAGACAACTTACTTGGAATATAAGCAAATGATATCTCCTTAGCAGTAGGCTCCAACACACCTGAGGCATTTTGAGGATACTCAAAACTGTAGACTTGTCTCTTGAGTGAAGCAATTAAAAGTTTATTAATATTATTTGCTAGCTGCAGATGAGTGATGGTATAAATGTTGCCTTGTGTTGGCAGCGAAAAAAAGTGCGCCTGCTTCATTAAATTCATCATTAACTATTTATTCATAACTGCAAAAAGTTAGCAGTTTTAATTCATGGAACCGTAAAACAATAAACTAAACAGACTTTGAGCTCATAAACAAGTGCAAGTAGTCAACATAAATATAACCTCAATAAAGTAGACGTGATGTGTTAGATAGTCAGCTGGTACGGCTGGTGCAACATCACTCGCATTTTACAACAATTATTAACAGCTAATAATTGTAAATTATTAGATAAATTAATTATAATTACAAGAGATTTGTGATAGGTAGTGATTTGACATATTTGTTAGTTATAAATAAGTGAAACATCATGAAGGAAAATGAAACAGAAGGTAAATATAAAATGATTTTTTTTTAAGTTGTATAGTAATATAATATAGTTTTTACTAAGATTATAATGTAATGAGTATTATAAAACAAGTTATTTACTTTTTATAATAATATTGCTCGACTATATAGTATGTATATACTTAGTTTAGCGAATGCTTATGTTTATTCAAAACTTTAAAAGACTATGACATAGTTGTACAAGTTTTAAACACTTAAACAATTCTTCCAGAGACCATGTCCACATGGATATCAAGAAACAACCTGTCATGGTACCACAAATTGTGCATAAACGTCCTGAAAGCAGGACCCATTCCCCGCCACGTTGCCTTCATTATGGATGGTAATCGCCGGTATGCAACGAAAGAAAACGTGGCTACCCGTCTCGGACACTCAAAAGGATTCGACAAATTAAGCCAAACCCTCCTTTGGTGTCAAGAAATAGGCATTAAGGAAGTAACCGTCTATGCTTTTAGCATTGAAAATTTCGGCCGTAGTCCGGAAGAAGTCGAAACTCTGATGAGTCTTGCCTCTGACAAATTTGAGAAACTATTAGAGGAAGTAGACAAACTACATGAAAATGGTCTGTGTATCAGAATAATTGGTAATTTAATTTTAATTCCCGAGGAATTACGCGCACGTATTGCTCAAGCTGTCCTCCTCACCAAGGATAATGATAAAGCATTCCTTAATATTGCATTTGCGTACACGTCGCGAGACGAGATCACGAATTCATTCCAGGTGATTAATGATGGAGTACATGCGAAGGAAATTGATGAACATGACATTAGTGAGTACTTGATTAACAAGTGCATGTATAGTGGAAAGAGTACTAAGCCAGATATATTGATAAGAACCTCAGGAGAGGTTCGGTTTAGTGATTTTCTGCTTTGGCAAACGTGGAATACTAATGTGATATTTCACAAAGTTTTGTGGCCGGATTTTACTATTTGGCATTTATTGGCGTGCGTGTTTTATTATCAAATGTATTATGCGCATCAGACACGGATTGAGAACGAATTTGGATTTGAACATCGCGATGACAAGAACGAGAAAGTTGAATTCTTTTTAAAAAATTTGGAGAGCAAGCGCATGAAACAGTTGGAAACTTACGCGTCTTATCTGACTCAAAATGTTTCAAATTAAGGTAGACTTAAATAAATTAAAGTTTGAGTGTTGTTTTAGAATTGTTATTGTATTTATTCCATGTTACACAAATATCTTCCTAACAAAAACGTGTCACTATGGTTGCCTATATATCAAGTTTTTGTGTAACATTGGTTGCATACGATGATTGTCTAAACCAAAATAATTCGTCGACACGCAATGACTCATTGTGCAAATGGCAAAACGAAATTGCGAAGTGAAAGTGTGTTTAAAGGTCACGTAAATACGTTAATTTGTTATTAAAAGCAGTTCTTCGTGAAATCGCCGCCCGACAACATCCTGCATCGTCGTCATAACGTCGCAATCAAGGTACGCAATGTATTTTGTCAAACGACACCATAGAAACGTAGTTATTTACGTCTAACCTTAAAGGCCAGGAAGTAAAAACATAATACCTTGTCTTCCCTCTGAAAATCATCGTATAACGAAGCATTTTTTCTACGCAGATGAACGAGCAAATCCACATCGATAACGATGACCATTTGCGCACCGTCGTACACATACAAGTTGACTATTTCTACATCCAAGTGGAGTCTCATCGAGATCCTTCATTGTGCAACAAACCAATTGCTATCCAACAAAATGATGCAATCACGACAACTAACTACGAAGCACGAGAGTGTGGTATAAAGCGCACGATGAGCGTCCAGGAGGCGCTTAATTTGTGCCCACATTTGGTTCTTTTAAACAGAAATGCAGAAAGCTTTCACAACTACAGACAACTTTCTTATAGTATAACAGCACATCTACAAAAATATTCTACATGTGTTGAACGTCTTGGCCTGGATGAAAACTACGTTGATATATCTGAAGTTATTCAGCAACGTTTAGGAGAAAAATGTACAATAGTAGGTGAAGTTTACAACAAATCAAGTGCAGTATGTTTGTGCGGATGTTACGACCGCCTTAAATTAGCGACGAAAGTGGTTGGCGAAATCCGCGAGTCTATAAAAAATGAATTCAAGTTGGTAACACGAGCCGGAATAGCTCAAAACAAACTTCTAGCGAAACTGGCTAGTGATTTGCACAAACCCGACAGACAAACGGTGGTTTTTCCTCCAAATGGTTATGAATTAATAGCAAATTTAAGCATTCAAGAGCTTCCAGGGTTAAGTAAGTCTGTCCTTAACGTGTTGGAGCATGAGATGGGAATTCGAACAGTTGCAGATTTACGATATAATGATAAACTGGTAAATTTACCCAAAGAAAAAGCGAAATATTTGCGTGATTTATCAATGGGTGTAGATGCTTCACCAGTTAAAGGTCGTTTTGTTAGTTTGGAGGACTCGCCACGAACTGGTGTAGAATCCGAGGTGAAAGAAATTTTAGAACAACTACTTAAACGCCTAATTGCGTTAGTGAATAAAGATGGAAGGATTCCAAGGAGAATTGAACTCCTCGTAAGGAAATACGACGACAACGCGAAAATATCTCACAAAGAAGTGAAATATTTCAACTTACATCCGAAGTTATTCATCAGCGAGAGTAAAATGTGCGTTAATGAAGACGCCGAACGGAAATTGCTGTCGATTGCGATGAAGTTGTTTTTGAAGGCAATTGATGTGTCGCGACCTTACCACATCACCTTGCTGGGACTGTCTTTCCGGCGCTTCAGAGAACCAATGCGCGTGTGTCGAACGGCGGCGATGCTTGTCAATCCATTGCTGAAGGAGAAGGTTGAGGTGCAGACCGTGACGAGCATCGAGAGCAAGTGCGATTACTCGGCGATGTTCATGGACACCTCATGCGGGGGTTATCACTACAATTATAACGGCTACAGCGATAACACTGACGGTTCGGAGTCTGAAATGGAACCGTCGCCAAAGAAAAAGAAGTTCAATTTAATTCGAAGCGCGAGGTGTTTTAAAAGCGAATGCCCTTCGCCGTCGAAACTTAACGTCGACCAGCTGAGGATTAACTCCGAGAGTTAAACACAGACAAGTTAGAATTTTATTTTTGGGTATGGTTTAAGTTTTAATTAAATATTTCAACGTTTATTGTTGAAATGATGAGTGCTGGACCAATTATCAAAGGGAAAAAACACCATTTAGTATATAAAGTTATTATTTACTTTATCATATTTTCTTTTGGTTAATTAATATGTAGTTCAACGATTACTCTATGGACGAAAACCGGTACAAACTAAAGTGCCTAATATTAATCTTTTTTAATATATATTTTTTCTATTTTCTTGTGAGCCGTGCACAGAAATCATTGATTAGTACTTTAAACTATGTTATTCAATTGTACATGTGATTAACATTACAGCCAACAAAATAAGTAATTATTTTACGTAATAAGTGAGAAAAAGCGGAGTAAATGACAAAAAAACATACGAAAAACATTGAAAACCAAAGAAAACGGGTTACATATGTTTATTGTTCAATACGAGTATATTTTTGAAATATGTATTTATATGGGGAGCATGTTCACTGAACGTATACGGAGATCCATCATTCGATTGTATTTAGAGCTTTTTTTATTTTTCTATCAATTCGATACCGATGCATTTTTTATACGTTTATATTTTATATACATACATACTACCTAGGTACATAAAAATAGTCAATTATTAATTGTATTAAATAAAACAAAACCTAACAAAAATAAAATAAAGATTATTTCTTTGAAAAATAAGTGTTTTTAACGTATTTTTCATGTTGAAGCAAATAAAAATATTATTTTTGTAGTAAATACATTTTTTTGACCTAAATAACATGGGTTCAAAAATTTCGCTATTTTTATAATGAGTCACGAGAATTAAATTTATTGTTGACAAAGAGATGTGCACGCTGATAACATGATACGCGCGTGCCTGTTGCGAATTATCTGATAACAACCTCAAAATAGCAACTTGTATAACTAGAGATTAACATTTGATCGATTACTATTACAGCGATAGTCCATTCGAGTTTTTAAATCACATATTGCGCATTTACTCATCTTGACTGATAACGATTTTTGAATGACTCTTTTACTACATCCTTATCAACATTTGAGATAACAAATTTAAAAATTACTCATCTGCTTATTTTTACGCTCAAAGTTGGTTTTGTCTCAAAAAAGTGATTTTGTTTTCTCTACATTGTACAGGTGCAGCTTGTTATACTACGAATTTGTTCGTCAATTGAAGTGACATACCAACAGCGTACAATTTCGAGTCGTGATGCAAAACCGTAAACGGTCGACGAAGGATTCGCGATTCACGTCGTGAGCCAAATCGAGACCGACAGCGCCGCGTACAGCTCCATATCAACGCTTTTGATCACGATGATCAACATAATATAAAACTACCACTACACGCACGTATACGAGTATACTCGTGTAGTCACAATCTCAATTGCGTGCGTGCACGATTCAAGCCGAAGCATAAGCAATTCAAGGCAAAAACGATTTTCGTTTCCCTTTTTTTGGTCTCTTGCTTTGTTCGCGCATCGCACATGGCCTGCGCGAGTGCTCACCGTACTTATGCTCGTTTTGACTCATTTATAGACTATTTATGCATATGCCCTCCGCTGTGCGCGCAATTGCGACTCTTGTGAGGCAAGACAAAGTCATAAAGGCATGCACGGTGCAACGAGATTGATGCGCAAGTTTACCAAGTTTAAATCGCGTTTGCAAGCTCGCTGTCTAAAAGCTAAAAGTGGAAAGCGTTTGTTTGCAAATGTAAAGTGGAGAAGGTAAAAATAAAGCAAATATCGAATGACAGAACGTAGGATGTACTGATTCTGCACACATGTTATTAATTTGTTCCCAGCCGTGTGGGGCGATGACGATGCTGAAAAAAAGCTTTTTATCTTGTAATCTCACGCTGATTAAGTGAAAAGAAGTCATTTTCGCGATGAGTACAATCCAATCGCAAGTCACACAATTGCAACATAAATTATTTACAAATTCCAAGCGGTATCAAAATGATCAAGATTACATTTTCATTTTTATCTATTTTTGGAAATCAAATCACTTTTAACTAGTCATTACGGTTAAAGCTTTAATAGATTTTCACCGGATATTGAAAAATGCCAAAGCACCAACGGAAATGCTTACTTTAGTCGGAAATTCGCTCAATTTTCTTTCAACAATTACGATTCGTGTAACTTGGACCAAATTTACAAGTACTTGATAGTACTAAAACTCGAAAGCTTCTTACTAGATAAGTAGCTAAGCTAAGCCCCACAGAGTTTACTTACATACGTCATTACCTAACTACCCAAATAAAATTTTTAAGCCTTAAATATTGTAATAGCGTCGTAATTTTATGGATTTTACATTTTACATATTTTATGCAAATTTTAGTTTTCTTTTGTAAATCAATATCAGTAGCAAATCAAATTTTGTACGCCTAAATATTAATAGCAATATTTATAAATAACAAACCGTCCTGGATGCGCGTTCACCATTCATCAACGTGATGTGCAAATAGTGCGAGATGAGATTTGCATACACATGCCAGATGATATGCCATTGTTGGCTCGCAATTATTTACACAGGTGTTTCTGTGTTAACACTCTTGAATTAAAAGTGTTTAATATATTGTTAGATAGGCGAATTTGTGTAAAAGTTATGAATCATTTTAATTCCAAAATACATTTAATTCCTTTGCAGGTAGCAAAGGAACCTATATATTTCTGCTTATGACAAATTTAATTCAGTTTGATAACTGCTCAATATTAACATACATATTGTATGTAACATACATACATTATTATTATTGCTACAATAAGTTATGCCTACAACTTCCTCTGCGTAGATTTTAATTTAAAAAATAGTATTACTACCTAATTATTTTCTTCTTCCTTGTCGTCCCGATACGAATTATACAGTTTCCATCGTGTTTAAATTTCTATATCAATTTTTATATATTTTTGTTACACCATTCTAGCTACATTTTAGTTACTTAAATCAGCCTATTTGTTATTCCTTGGATAAAACTATCTTTATACCAAAATTTATTAAAATTGTTTCAGTGGTTTGAGCCTAAAAGCGAGACATATAAACAAATAAACTCACATTCGCACATATAATATGAGTTAGGATGAGTCTAAAAAATTTGCATTTTTGTCTCAAGGTTGCCAAAAAATATTTGTGCACGTTGTGTTCAACTCATTCATCACTGCATTGTCAACACGAACGGACGTAATTAGGTATCATTTTTGGATAATAATCTCTCTATTTCTAAATTAAACATCAACTTGCTGGCCAATCGCGGTGCCTAATTGCATCTGTAATGCGCTCGTAATTTGTTTAAATCGTGAGCGCGCATGAAACTAGATAAAACCGTAATTCGTCTGGACGCGATGGACGCAATCTGAAATTCAGCAACTCGCGCGCGTCAATCATCTACATTCCGGCTATCGGGCATTAATAAACATTAAACATCGCATTCGATTCATTCCGTCGCAAATTGTGTAAAATTACACACGAAAAAATCACGACTAGGATGTTCGACGTAGAGTTGACGTCGTCTCACAATGCGAATGTCGCACGCAAACAGAATGCAAATACGCCGAAAACAAATTTTTCATTAAACACACACACACACACATAGCGCACAATTTACTTATGTTGATATCTACATGATGTTTATATGTGTATGTGTATTGTCGCAATTAGTGCTGCGCGATGACACACAGCGTTTCATGTTTCGCATTTCGTTCCGTTTGTTTTTCGTCGTCCTCCCGAGCCCCCTCCCGCGCCACCAATTCGGTTCGGACGTTTTACATCCGACATGGTTACATGTCGCGACTCGAGTCGCGGCTGGCGGCCGTGGCGGCGGCATAGGCGCGCTTTGTATTGATCTTCCTGTTTGATCGCTAATCAATGCGGGCGGACGCAATTACGTCTGGCGCTCCATTGGCCGTCGCGGCACTAAAACGGCAGGCAGGCTGGGGATTACACTCGCGCTGCTGAGGGATCCTTCTGAAAAAATCACCCCGCTAAGGGGGGCGTGCAAATGTCAGGAGATTACGGGGCGCAAAGCAACAAAACAAGCAATTTCTAAGATGAAAGTTGTTATGTTTCATTTGTTTCTTCCCACGTTCAGTGTTTTTAAGTTTCCAGGCATGGAGGGGGTTCGCCCAAGTGGTTTTTAAGTAGAAATCGATATTCCAAGGGGCGTTCCTTGAGCTGTGATCCGGCAACTTTTGATATCGCATTAAATTATTACAATTTTCATGACTCTAGGCTCAGTGTGCGCGTCGGGTCGTAAGGGGAGCGCGAGAGAAGTACGGATGTTGATGTTCTTATTGCTTTACGGCCTTTGCCGGAGTCGAGTTGGCGAGCACGCCATGAAAGCATATTTATATCGAGGCCTCTCGCACGCTCCCGACGCCCCGCACGTTTTATTATTAATAAAACGGTTTATTTATCGCGTTGCCATGGCGACCGCGAGTCTCCGGCCGCGTTTTGTTGATCCTTCGGATCGAAGAGACGCGACCCGCCCGGGCCCCCGGTTTGATCATGGCGGGCCAGCCAGAAATGCAACGCAAGGCGACGCGCGGAGACACCGCCACACACCGCAATCGCGCGCACGCACGCAGCACCCAACGGTTCCCATGATCCTTCCTCTCTCCCGTCCGCTTGCACGCCCGCCGCACACACGAATGTGTTTTTTCGAGGCAGGCCGAGGCACTTAAGTGGCTCCCAGCGTACGCACACGCGCACACACCCACCGCGCGCGAATGCAACACATGTGCAGCGATGCACGTGTGTGCGGAGTCCCCTCCGCACCTTGCGCGCGCGCCATGTGGCGAACATAAACAAACGACATTACGCACGCGGGGGTCGCATCAGCTGTAATCGCTGCGCGGAGGTCGGGCGGTCGCCGCGTACACGCCGCACCGGCATGGCTAGTAGAGGGAGACGAGGCATGCGTAGAAGATCTAAAGTAGATTCGAACACCGCCCGAGATACACCGAACATAGTCGAACGCTGGCAGTCGCCGTCAAGCCAGGGTGTTTGACGCGCTCGCTAGGCGCGTGCGATCAGTTTGCGAGAGTCGATGGCAGTGGCCAGGCGGTCGTGTTGCTCCCGGTGGGAGGGCGCTCGCTCTCCCGACTCGCTCCTCGACATCACGGCGAAGATCGCCGCCGAGAACATCCCGTTTCAACGCATCGAAGAGCGCTACGACCGCATACCGGAACCGGTGCAGCGGCGCATCATCTTCTGGTCGTTTCCGCGAAACGAACGCGACATATGCATGTACTCTTCGCTGTCGCGAGTGCCCCCTGTGAATTCCGCCGGTGGTGAGCCGTTGAATCTGTCGTTTTGCAAAGGATTAAAATTACTCGAAGCTGGATGTGTGGATAACGTGTTGCAAGTTGGTGAGTAATACCCCTTTCAAGCAATGTCAGGAGAGTTCATGCAGCTCGTTCATTTTTGCACGAGCGTTTTGGCAACAAAAAAAAAAAGATCACCGAGAACAGGCATAGCGCACAGTCATGCGAAGCCGTAGAAAGAAATATGTACGGGCGGAGTGCAAACGAAAACAAATCGCGACATTGTTTATGAATCGACGCGTTTATAAAAGGCTTATTATTGCTGTTGCATACAATCGGCGTGTGTACACAAAGTGTCTGAATACACCGCCCGCTCTGTGCACATGAACGTTTTGTAAACTGCGATCGCGTTTGTGTAACATAGTATGTATACAAATTCATATCTTGGCTAAGTCCGCGCGTTACAACAATGTTTTCAAGTTTACATAGCCTACCATCGCAAAAATGACGTTTCGTACGTATTTAGATAATATTCCGACGCAAGCGTCATACATGTAGCCTAGCCTAAAGATATTCATTATTTAAGTGTGTCGATCAAAGGCTAATCTAATAGTAAACGTAATCAATATAATTGAAAAGTGAACAAATCGAAATAAACTATTAACTATGCACGTTTCACGATAATTTCAACATGCCACCTTGACGGGCTTGTAATTGCGCACAATTTTCGATTTTTGTTTGCTGTCTCCGGAAAACAAAAACCAACCGGGAGATTGCTCCGAAAAAAATGTCAACTTGTTTCCTACAACAATTTTTTGGTCATGATCATGTCCATTTAGTGCTGGCTGGTTGGTTCAGTACTCTGGCCACTATTATTATAACATATTACGAATGACGTGCACGTTTACAGCGATGCCTTTGTTGCACGCTCTCCTTGACGGTGTGATTGTCCTCGTCTCGCACGGTAATTTTGTTTGAAAAATTCATTTCCTTCCAAATAAACTTTTTACATTGTGCGTTTGCTACAAGGAAGCAGAGTAGATTTACGTCCATTGCACGCACTCAATGCGTCCGCTTTTTGTGTGCGCTCGTATTGGTATTAGTTTTCGGGGCTTTTCTTCTTTTTTGTAATGTCCGAAACGTGAGCTCAACGCAACGAATCCACACGATCGCATCGATGTTCCTTATTTATTTAGGCGCAGATCTATGGCAGCGCATTGGTAAATTATGGTTTGGCATTAAATCATTCCATTTGAGCTCAAAGTCAAATAGAGGAAATTTTGACCAAGCTGAGAAAAAGACGAAGAAAAGCTGCGAAGGAGGGTATAGTAGACGCAATGAGAAATAAAAAAAGTGGATGGACTGGAAACAAAATTATGTATGGCGACGCGCAGGGAGATCAAACAAAGTCAATGTAGGTAGAAAAGAAAACGAATGATTAATGATCCATGCTGGGAAACAAAAACTACAATCAAGCTTTGCCAGAGGGGGTTGCAACGAAACAACCTGGTTGTTTAATATTTATAGTTAGATATCTATCATTAATTGTAAGATTTAGCTTGAGTTGAAGTTGAATTTTTGATTGACAGTCCAACAAAGCCGTAAAATCATGAAGAGTTTCATTATTCAACCCAGAATTTTGACGTATTTGAAGTATCTTTCGACTTTTAAGCTCTTGAAATTTATGTGAAGGAGTTAGTCAAATGGACATAACATGAATATCACAGTTTTTCCATTTCGGTTATTTCTGTGGTTTGCACATTTACAGTGCGAATTTCAAAACGTGCAGACCATAGTCAAAAATTAAACCTACCTCCACTGGTTGGTTCTCTTATTTGCACATTGACTGAACTTCACCTTTGCTTCGCCGTATACCTTTTGGTCCTTTGGCTTGGCGCAAGTAAATAGCTGCACTGCGTGTGCATGCACTCTTGCTTCGTTGTTTGCTGCTGGATTGTTCCGCCCGGCGTGTACCCCAAGTGCCCCTCGGACGAAATAACAGCGCGCGGCGGCGAGAGAAATGCCCATATAAAGGTGCGCGCCGATAATAAATGCGTTTTCGAGCATAATGCGTGCGTACAGGCGGCGCTGAAGAAAACGGTGCATAAGTATAGGGGAGAGGCGAAGGTATACCAAGAGAGGTAAACGAAATGAAGGCTGAAGGTATCCAGCGTTCGTGCACACCATCAAGGCTCGCTGCGCTGTTTTCTCGGGTGGATGGAGATGCTTGAGACGAAATCAAACGTCAAATCGTCGTCGATGTAGTGAAACGAACTTAATGCGGGAATCGAAATAAATGCAACGGAATTCGAGCACTAGCCGAGGAGTTATTGTTGTGGACGTGAGTGTGTGTTTTTAAATTTCTTTCAAATTCGCTTTTTTGTCGTTTTTTGTCACGAAGCAGACGGCGTAGTTGGATGATTAAGCGAAATTAAACGAAAATGACTTGTGCATACTCTGAAAATTCTCCGAACACAAAGGCATCGATAGATATACTGCATTTAATGCGTCCGGTATTTCAACACACTCTAATATCTCTAATAACTTTTCAACTATTTTCTAATGCTGCTTATTATCGCAGCTGTTGCCGACTGATAGTTTCGATAACGCTTTTATTATTGAATTTATTACAAACTTTACTATTCATTGAGTAATTTATTATTCTACGATCATTGCGCGCAGGCTCAGCTTTCCATGCTGATGTGTTTATAAACGAATTGTTTTCTGTTGTAAGACGCTATTTGCATATCGAAAGAATGCAACGCGATTATGGATTACGCATTATAGCATTGCTTAATCGGAATGCGGTGGCCGTTTTGACGGTGTTTGGATTATTTATTTGTTATGCTTCTGCAGTCGCTAGGCCTCCATGCATTGATGCATTTATTATCGTGCGTTGTCATACACGAAACTTTCTTCGCGCCTGCGTGAGAATGACAAATGCGGCGGCGGTGTGGATTTGATAAGCATTTTATGATGATCTATGGACACCTTCACTACTGAAACGGGACACCCATGGTCGACGCTCCTTTCGTTTATTTTATTTAAAATGCATTCGTATGCTAAACGCCCGGTAATTTATTTAATTTTATTTCATTAATAAAAGTGGAAGAAACGAAGCGAAATTGGAATGGTTAAGATACAGTGTGTCCGTGGGTGGATTTAGCTTAAAAAAATATTTTGTTCGAATTAACGCACGCACACACTGTTTGAAATTTAGTGAAAACTCTCGACAGGAAACGTTACCGGGCGAATTATTATGCGATCCGCGCTGTAACTTTGCATAAGTGCGTCGCCGCCGCGCACGCTGCTAATAAATGCGTATCAATAAGCGACTCGTTAAGGATGAAAAACATGAGACGTGAAAATATTATGTATTTAGTCGGAAACACATATAAAATTTAACGAGATCTCTCGGGCCTCTCGGTGAGTCGGCTCACCGTTAGCTCTCTGAGGTTGTGAGCCTGCCTGCCTGCTTGCCGTCCACCCGGGGGCTTACGGCGACTTACAACTTTTATATTTATATTTTACAGGTAAATAAATGTAAATATTAATGCGGCGCGAGCGAAACCGTCATCGATAATGCGCGGCAAGCGAAAAAGGACGGATTGTGTTTGCATTTTATTACGTTTTTTAAATTATTCACTTCGCTTTTTTTTCGTTATTTATCATGAAATTAAACTTAAAATAGGCCTAATGAATAAATTAGCTACGGACATGGACAGGCGCACCGGTAAGGTAGGTGTACGTAAGGTATGAAAGTGTTTCGTGCCAATCAGCGCTTTAAATGTTGCTCATTTCACGTTTACTCTGCAATAATACGTGATATGCGGCTGGAAATTCGACGCCGCACGAAAATATCGATTGTATTGACATCGACATTTTTGATGATGAGACACGCGCTTTAAAAAATATCGGCGCGCGACGAAAATGAATTTATTAGTCGCGTTTCAATCGAACTTTTCACGTTTATGCGCTCGGCGGCGATAATGCGCGCTATTTGTTTCGAGGTATTAAAAACAAACCGCCACGTTTCACGCTTGATTAAATCGGGCGCATGAAATTATTTTATTCCGCATGCACAAAAATTAAATATTTCACTCGTGTGTGTGCGCGTATAACGCGAAGAGAATATAGAATAATAAATTAATAATGATGAGGTTTTAATAATCATTTTGATGATTTTATAATTCGATGCGGACGAGTATGATGATTATTACATGCGCATGAAAATTTCGATTATATTTTCCAATTTTATTTTCCGCCCACTGCTTTTGTTTGAGCACATCGCACATGTCAAGTTGCATTGTTAATTAATTCATTAATTATGCGGTTGATTATTTAATTATTGCCCAAAGTGGGGGACATTTTTGTGATAATACGATCGATGATATGTAGTTTTATTAATATATGGGCTGATTAGGTAAATGTTTGAACAAGTTGTATGGCGGAATTGAATGTCTGATATCGTCAGGTTTTGCGGGAAATATCGCTCGGCTGGAAATTTTCAATTTTCCACCGAACTAATGAAATTAAACAAACAAATTACATGCATAGATTACACACAAATCGGCCGCGCGGCGGCCGTGTTTGCGGTCGCTTTGTGCGCGCACAAATTCGCGTTCGCCGCCACGCCGCCATTCGCACCGCATCGATTTTCCATTCGGATGCTAATTTATAATTTTTATTGCGGGCCGGGCGAGAAATAATGGCGTATAATGGCTGATGCATTGTGGCTGTGCGTTGTTTTTCAGCGTGTTTGTTTCGTAAAAGCGCCGAATAAAGGGCATGAATTAATGAAATAATGCAATGCCAATGAAACGCGCATTATTTACTCGTCGCCGCAGTCATGGTAACAACATTATAAAACAGACTATTATAGAATGATCAGGAACGATCAGACGATAAAGCGTTTCGGCGGACAATGCATAATGCGGCGGCGGCGGCGGTAATGGCATTCATTCAGTATCAATGGCTCGCAGAGGCGAGTTAAATGATTCAGACGCGTTGTTGGCAATGACGTAGGAAATGTTTATGCAATGAATTTCAGTTCAGTTTAGAACTCGGCGAAATACACTTGTAATTTTTATATTAGCAGACGGTGA